CACAGAAAGGAGAAGGAGCTGACATATGCCAAGAGCCTGAGGAAGAGGAGATCTTTCCTGAAAACGGATTACACCTCACAGGTCACTTTCCCCTTGGCTTTGCCAGGCTCTCTGCAGAGCTGCTCCTCTTGGCCACCCCCACCACCACTCCTTGCTGAGTCCCCCATTCGACCGTCCTTAGAGAGCTTCAAGAAAGATGTAGAGCTGGGACTTCCTGCTGCCACACAGGCCCAGAGAGACACTGCTAGCTCAAACCCATCCTCTGACCTGATGGAAATGGAGCCTGACACCATGGAAACAAAGTCAGTGACTGACTCGGTGGTTTCTTCCATTTCAGCTGTTCGCCTGCAAGGTGACCAGCACAGGGAGGAGAGTGCAGACATTGCCATACATGTGGATGGACGCCTCCAACCTGCACATGCTGTAGGTCCACCTTTCCTGTCCCTGGAGGAAGCTGTGCCCCTTCCTGGGGGACAAAGCAGAGCTGCCCAGGAAAGTTCCTCCATGAAGACAAATACTTGGAGCCTGAGTGAGCAGAGTGATGTGGCCACTGGAGGCTGGCTGGCCCGAGTGGCAGTGGAGGAGGTGGGTGAGGTGATGGCAGCCCAGCACAAGGCTGGTGATGTACCCCTATTCCTTGGCCAAGAGGTGGCCTGCCCTGCTAACGAACACACACGGACACTGTCAGCTCATGGTCCTAGCGCGGCCTCTTCCCATGAGGTGGCCCAAGCCCAGGAACTGTTCCCCACTGCTGGGAGGCAAGCAGTATCTAAGGAGCCTGTCCTGGCTCCCTGTGAAGAAAGAAAAGCTAATTGTGACAGCTGTGTTGAAAACAGCAATGACAGTGCCTTGTCACAGGCAAAAAGCAGACAAGTGATAAACAAGGAGGCCTTATGGAAAGTGCACAATACAAATCTCATGGGTTTTCCAGATGTAACCCAGCTCTTAACAGATTGCAGCAGCACTTCAGGGGTTATAACTCGCCTCTCCTGGCTGTCATTTGGAGTGAGGACAGACCTCACCTCACCCACCCTGTCTCAGGAAAGGGTAGCTAGCCCACTAGAGCTTTTGGCTTCTCAGAAGACCAGTGGGTGCCTGAGGCCTGATGCTGTCAGAAGGGAGATGCAAACACCTTCAGCTGGACTACCCTTTGAGGAAGAGTTGGTAAGCGGCCAGGGGCTGGCTGAAGGAGAGCCCAGAAATGAGGCAGGAAATGTGGCTCACGAACAGCTGCAGCGTGTTCAGACTCCTCTTCCCAGAGAACAGGCTGCCGAGGTGGGGAAAGACTCTCCTCTGACTCCATCTCTAGGGCTTTCCAGCTCCTCAGGCCAAATTCCCTTGGGCTCATTGGGGAAAAGAGCAGGAGACCATGGGGTGTCAAAACAATCCTTCCTCTGCTTTAACCACAAGAAGGACGAGCAGACCCCTTCTGACCCTATCATGACTAGGTCCTTGGGTTTTTCCACAATGAAGACAACATCACCACATCTTGGGATGGACAAGTGCAGCTGTCAGCTGTCCTATATCAGCTGCTTCCACAGGTCTGATGACAAGGGGGAATGCGAAACCACCATCCCCATGTGCAGTACATTTCTGGGACCCCTCACCACCCCACCATCCAGTAGCCACAGTCTCCTGGGGACCCCTGTGGGCAGTTACCCAGTTTCCATTGCTAGGGATGTGGCATGGTGGGACCCTCATGTCCAAGCCCTCAGCCAGCTGAAGGACCAAGCACAGATAAGCCCTGCAGATTTCTCCTGCTTCCTAGCCTACACTACAGAGCTTCAGGAGGTTGTGGGGAAGTTCTCCAGGAACCATGCAACCCACCTGCAAGAACAATGTGCAGAGCAGGGTGCTGAGAGCAAGGGTGCCCTTCGCTTAGCCTCCCAGAACCTGCTGTCCAGTTGCCAGGAGCTCCTGAAAACAGAGCAGCCCCTCAAAGAGCTGCAGGATGTGCTGAGGGTGACATTTGACCACCTAGTTCAGCTGGCAGTGGCCTGCTTCCAGGTGACACACTGCCAACTGTGCAGGCAGAGGCAGCAGGAGCTTGGGGCTGCACTCATGGATGTGGTGGGCACCTACCACCAGCTTGTGCAGGCTGTTCACCAGCAGCTTCGCAGGCAAGGCTGCCCAGATCTGGGTGCCAAGCTCCTCGCCCGCCAACACACAGCCCTTGCAGCTGCCATGTTTTTTCTCCTGCAGCAGTTCAGGGTACCCCCATTGTTGTGACAGGGCTGTTTGGTGGCACACAGGTGCACTGGGTGAGGAAGACCCCAGCCATGGTCCCTCTGTCCACTACCAGGCTCTCCCCCACAGGATGTTTAGCCCCATAGCTCAAGAGTGGTTGTGGAAGGATGTGTCCATGCATGTTGGCTTAGCCACACCAAGAACCACCCTGTCCACAGGGTGGTCATGGGGCAGAGGATACTGCCCTCCAGCCTAGCTTTGTGTAATTCTGCATACACAATCTCTATGTAATATGCAAATTCATAGAGACCTTTAGTGGCTTATGTACCTTGCCAGGAGCTTGTCCCTCACCTCCCAAAGCCCTTGCAGGTGGCCATTCTCAAGGAGTTGTCTTAGTTGCCTTCTGTCGCCTGTGGAGAAAGACAGGAGCCTTTCCTCATGCTCCTTACTCTCCAGGCAGACTCTTGAGTGACAGCAGATCCCACCCTGACCCAACATGAAGGAACCCAGGCTGCTTTGTCCACCTTCTGTGGCTGAGGATGTGGCTGGACTTGTAAAAGAAACCTCTTTGTGAACAAAGCTATGCTGTATTTAACTGCTTTTCCTTGCAAAGGCTGAAGAGGGTTGTCCCAGGTGAGGGAGACGCTGCCATATCCTGCTCTTGTGTGTGGTTTCTGTGTGTCAGCCAGCTCTTCTATTTCCATTTGCTGATGTTTGAGGAAGTCCCTGATTAACCCCCCCCATGCCCCCACCATGTTACTTATGGATGTGTCTTCCAGAAGGAACAAGTAAGCCCCGAGACTGAACTGCCACCTTCACAGCTCTGGAGATGACCCATTATGCTGGCCTCCCTAGGAGGTGGCAAGCCCCCTTTCCCAACCTTGTCAGTAGCTCTTCTTCTAGTATATCCCTAGCTAGGTATGAGCTGTTTGCCCTTAAAGGTTGTCTAGTGAATCAGCACTCCAGTGCTGGAGGCATGACCTCAGTGCACTCTGATGAAGAGGGCAGAGGCAGGTCCTTGACTGATTGGTGGTATCATCTAACTTAGGGACTTGCTTGGGAGTGGCTAGCTTTCTTGAGCGTGCTCAGGATGGAGGGGTCTGCACCAGGCAGCCGAGGAGCATGGGTAGGCCTCAAGAGGTGGCCAGTTCTGCCTATGAACACCACATCTCCCCAAGCACCAGGGCAGCGTGGGGACAGGATTGTCCTGTGGATATGTAACATCTGCAGGAGGGTGCCCCCACTTTTTGCTCATTCTTTAATGCTTCTGGAGGGAGTAATGGCAAAGTTCTTGCAGCTGAACTCTGGTGTGGAAGAGGATGGCAGCTGGGGCAGAAGGGAGTGCTGCAGCACCCCTGGGACCTCCCTAACCAGACACACTCCAACAGCCAGGCAAGCAAACACCCGCAGGAATTCAGCAACGTTTAGCACTCCTACACCAAATCTTACAGCTGGTGCTCTCACAGTGTGCCTACAGACAGCAACGTAGCTAACCAAGGGCAGTCCGCTTTCCTGGCTGCACAGGGTGGCCAAAGTACCTTCAGCCACTGGGGAGGGTAGCGCTGCCAGGTGGTTTGGGTTAGCGTATGCTGCTGCCTAGTCTCTTACACTGGAGCCCAAGTACAGACCTCCAACTACACACTAACAGCCAGTGAGCAAGGGGATGTGAAGAGTAAGAACTGGAAGAGCCCATGGGACAACGGGAGAGCTCATAAGACACAGCAAAGCAACAGGCACTGGCAAACACAAATTCAGCCTATGTAGGCAGCAACACCCTGTGCCCACTAACAGCTTCTGTTACAGCAGGGGCTACTGACATTGTCTCGCAGGCATTTGACTTCCAGGTGTGGTAAAAGGCTCTTAATGTGGAGAAATGAAAACACATAAGCATATGAGATAGTAATTTACCTCAGAAGACCTTCAGTTTCTTCCACAGTGGTTAGACATAGTCATTGACCATGAAGGGATTTTTGTGTTTGAGGGTTTTTTTTTGGAACAGCAGCTGATGCAACATACTGACTTAGATGCATCAAAAATGCTTTCTGCTGTGGCCATGAAATACATCACTACTCTTTCGGCAGGACACAGTCAAATCACAAGTACCTTTCCAGGAGGAACGTCAGGGTTAGTGAACTTTACACGTCTGATGATGTACCGTGCATGCATCAGTAACTGTAAGGATGCAATGGGAATTTAAAAGTAAACATTTTATTTTAGATTAGATGCACAGGATTAGCTACAATAGGCTTCAACAATTCACCAAGTCTTCACCTGGTTTAAAGTTGTTAGGACATGGCACACCTGGGAACTGTTTCTCCACTGGGGAATCACTTCCCAGCTTGTGTTTCCCCAATTGGAACAGCACTGTCTTTTTCCATGGGAAGGAATTTCCCTCGGCAGTGAGCCTTGCAATTCTAACTTCACCTTACTGTTTAATCAAGATGAAAGAAATACCTTAAAGCTCTCCTCCCTATCCCAGAAAAAGTGTAGATGCAAGAGTCAGAAAACACTCTAACAAGCATCTGCAAAGAAGCAAAACTGAAATCCTGTCAGTTTTTACTTGATGCCAGGGCTCCATCAGCTTTTGTTTTCTGCTCAAGGGGAAAAGTAATTTCCAGCATTGTACTGCTGAGGTAGAATGTCACTCTCAACAAGGTCCTTAAACAAGACATAAGCAGAGCCATTTTCTCTATGCACATTCATGGTGGTGCCTCTGCCTGAAATTTGGAGTTTGCCTCTCTTCTCTGCACAGCTCCTTAACATTACAAAATAAAAGAGTTTTCTTGTGCTTTGTCATGCTGAGGTATTTCCACTTATTTCACTGCATCTGGTAGCACATAGCCTTTTCCAGAAGAAACTCCAGCTTTCAAGGCTGCTGGCCAGCTTCGGGTCTCATAGTAAGTTGATAAGACATCAAAGACTGTCAAGAACAGAGAGACGTACCATGCTGTGATACCAGTATCAATAGCAAGCTCTGTTAATACACACCCCACTGGCTGTAAATCACAAAATGGTAACAGCTGATGCCAGAGAAGGCTAATATGGGGTTCACATTCACTCACTGAAAATCTGATGAGCCAGTGTTTGAGGCAGCTCATCTAGGAGCAGGTGACTATTTTGAATATGACTTTGGGGAGCTCTGGCTATGAAAAGCAGAGACTGCATCAACTCAAGCAAGGTTCCCCCAGACACCATTTTGACTAACCTGTACTGGCTGGCTGTGCTGCTGCTGACAGTATACCCATGGTAAGTCATACCTACTGTACTTCACCATTGCTTCTCAGATGCTGTGTCTCCACATCAGAGCTCCCTTGGGACACACAGTGGTCACTTGCAGCTAGGCTTGGTGCTCTGCAGAGCCCTCCGCCACCTCCTCTGCCTTGTGCTGATGGAGATGGCAAGAAAGTCCTCATGCCGGAGGTAAGAACTCATTAGAGCTGGACTAGGACATAGGCCCCTCCGTAGTCTCTAGCAGAGAGATGTTCACATTACAAAGCCACAGACTGCCAGGAGAGATGGAGGAGCATGAGCACATCCACTGATGTGACCAGGTGGCCCAGCCCACGGTCATGACATGGAACCATCAGAGCAGTGTAGCCCACGAACACCCCACCCTGTTGGTGTGAGCCTTGCCTTGATTGAGCCTGACACAGGCCTGACAACATCTGTCCTTATCCCTTGCCTGGGACCTTGTGTGACTTGTAGTAACAACAGCCTCCACATGTCCCCACATTAACTGTTCAGGGCTTTGTGCAAAATGAGTGATGCAAGTTCTGCTCCTCTGAGAACAGGCTGATGCAGAGAAGCACACAAGACCTTAAAATGGGGACATCAGGGATAAAACCTAGTAAGAAAAAATTCTGCCCCCAGTGTTCTCCCCATTACTCGGCACTGGGCCTCCATTGTGAGAACTCTGCTGCTTGATAACCTCCTCCAGCCCAGGGAAGTGACAGGACATGGCTCAGCCTCTCACCTTGATTAATTGCCAGTGTCTCTGAATGGTAGTTCTTGGTGTTAACGGTTTTCACCATGTACTCACGAATGGGGAGGCGGGCTGTTTGCAAGGACTGCTCTTGTGCCCTTTGCAGAGTCAGCTTCTGCAAGGGAAATGAGAACAAGGTTGTAAATGTACACAAACTTGCACGTGCATTGGATGCACATCGTTTTGGGTACAAGCAGCTATGAAGCCAAAAACTGTCCTAGAGCGCATTTCACTGAGACTGCTGCAGTCTCTCTCAGCCTCGTGCTGGATCCAGGCAGAACTTTGAGGAAAAATGGATCGTGGCACAGTAGTGATGTCTTAAATTGAGGCAGCGGCAGCATGGCACGTCTCTCCTCTCATAAGAGAATGGGGCAGACAGCACCTTCAGGTTCTGACAGGTACTACCCACCTTGTGAATGCTTTCATCCACCAGGCCTCCAAGGACGTACGCTTTATTTGGATCAATATCTTCAAGGACTAGAAACAAGATAAGCACTTGCTCACCACCATACAACAGTAAAATCCTGCATTACACCATTCCCCAAGCAAGACCCCATGTCCATGAGAAAGCCGTGGCCAGTCACCCTTCAGCCCGGAGCCTCAGACCGTGAATGAGGCTGAGGCTTCAGAGACAGGAGTGTCTGCTTGAACCCACAGGCAGACCAAAAGGGGGAGATCAGATGCAGGCTGAAAGCATGGAGTGCCACAGACACCAGGCATTGCTCCCTTTAACCGTTGTCTGTTGAGATGCGGCTGATCTGGTCAGTCTGATCCCAATCTGCTCCACAGATGCCTTCCCACTGTCAAGGTCTCTCCTACTAAAACCTTCCCCCACCCTTACCAGATTCTTTATCAGAGTAAGGCACTTGGGTAAAACAAGAAAGGGATCTATGTCCCCAGGGAACACGTGGCCGGTTAGAAATGTAGGAAGAGGAGAAAATAAACACAGCAGCAAATTAAGCAATAAAAGGAATGTTGTAGGTCCTGCATTATTTCAGAGAAAGATGTAATTTTGACTGTATTCAAAATTGCCACAGCATCTCCACTTTGCCACTGTGTAGTATTACAAACTGCAGGGGATCTACACACAGGTTTTCAGTTAAGTCTGCTGCAGATCACACACAGCTGTGACTCAAAACTTCATTCATTGTCAAAACAGATTGAGATGTGAACAGATTTAGCATCAGACCTAAGTACACAGTATATATCATGCAAGTTGAGACTGTGAATGCTTGGAATGGAATCACTTGAAGTATGAAATAGTATCAAAAAAGAAAAGCTTAAAAAATCAACCTTATACCTTAGTTCCCCTGTACCTAAAACAAGTAAAATATTTACCATTCTCAGAGTCAGGAGTGAGATAAACAATTGCATCTAAAGGAAACAGGTCCAGGTAACTTTCTTCAGTTGTATCCATCTGAAAAATGCAAGACAGGAAGAGAAGCAGCGCATTAGCCCAAACTCCCACCTGCCAGAGCAAAATCCATGCTCAGACACAGAAGTATACTGGGACTGATGCTAGTGCCTTAGCTGTTTAAACTCTGACAGATACAGAGATTATTTTTTTTTAATTTGGAAGATGTTTCTATATGGGCACTGAATGATACATATCTCAAAATCCATTAAATTCTCTTCTCATCAAAATCCCTAGACACGGTTTGAGGAAGGGACATCAGCAATAACTACCTAAGTTTAAATGAGATTCTAATTCTTGAAAGATTCAGCAATCTCCACTTCAGGTAGTTTTCTCCCCTCACTGTTACCAAGTGCATCCCTACATGTGCTATGGAACGCACAGCTCAATATCACTGCGACAACCTGTATGTGTAGGTATCATGCTCAAGTCAGACCAAGCTTGGGACAAAAACCCAGGACAAGAATGTATGACCTGTGCAAAGCCTGACCAAGCTTATTTGTCTGCCTGTCGCCAGTATCACAGGTCTCTTTGCAGAAGTAGCATCTGGAGAAGGAATTCTTCTTCTGCAGGCAGGAGGGACGCGAGCTCTAACCAGGCGGCCTTGCACATTGCCCCATTATGTGTCAGTTTTGTCTCCTGCT